TGGACATATTTTCTCGTAGATGAACCAATTTTTCCGTGGTATCCTCATGAGCCAATTTTGTGGCTTTCTCTTGCCATTTCAGAAGTGACAACTCCTTCAGCATGTAGGCTTCGGCTTCGTTTTTCACATCCTGTTCAATGATATATATCAGAAGGTTAATATATCATATCAGAAGATAGTCTACCAATGTGTAAACTTTATATACCTCCAAGCCATCTCTTTCTTTCTCTGCCAACTTGACCATTTGCACCACACCAGATCTTTTCTCATTGAGGGATTCTAACCTATGAGACCAATGAAAGCAAACATGCCCAGTTGTTAGAAATATGAGATTTCTCTATCAGAAAGATGGGGAAAAGAGGGGAATTCCCAAAAATGATCGAGAATTCAGCAACAAAAGTGCATAAAGCCATCCTTATTATGTTAAAAGGAAATAAATGATAATTGTTTAATCTTCTTTTATTAAAAATAGCTATTACTTTAGTTAATGAAATCTGGAGATCAGTTCTAGTGTCTTTCTGTAAAACATCCATACAAGGAAAGTTTTCATTTGCTAGTCTTTCATTATCTAGCTAACAAAAAGGAGCTGCCTGCGCTTGGAAATCCTACAAGTAGGGCATAAACTGTGACTGAAAAGAGAATATGCATGTCCAAGAGCAGGATTATAACAGGACAATTTTTTCAATATAATAAACACAGAAAAAGTACTCACTCCTTATTTGATTCATCAATCTTTTCAACGTATTTGTCAGTTCCGATAATGTCCTCTAGGTATTCAAGAAAACCTTCATCATGAGATCCTTGACCTTTTGGCTTCATCAGAGAAATCTGCTCAACTTCACCCTGATAGTAACCATAAGCAAACTCTTAAAACACCGAGGAAATCTTTCTCAAAGTAGAAGAGCTGCGTGTCTAATATCAAACCTGAAGGATCAAAAAACGATTGTTGTCCAGGTCAACTCCTTTCCCTTTCAGTTTCTTGGTAACTTCAGTGAAGTTGCTTGCACGGTCATTAATGAAATATTTGGAGGAGTTATCGCGAAATGCTACCCTAGTGATTACAAAATCACTTCCTGGAACAGCTTCAAATGTGCCATCATCCTGTAATGATTGCAAACGTATCAAACTAAGATAACCTACACTTTCACCAGATACTTAGGCACATAGGAAGCATGAAAAAACTTTAAAGCCTACTATATTCATTACTAAATACCAGAATAACCCCACCCAAAAACAAAAACAAAAAATCTCAGGAGAGTCCTACAGGTCCAGCTGAATTGATTGTTTTTTTCTAAAAAGAAGTTACAACAGGACACTTTAAAACTTGAAATCTTAATCTTCTTTCTTTTATCTTCTCACAAGAAACCGAGGGTACTAATCAATTTTCAGAGTAAACAAAATCCAAACGATAAAAGGTTAAAATTACCAAATCAAAGATCTCCTGGAAATGAACAGAAACTCCAGCACTATCCAGATTCTGGTGATTTGTGGAGTTATGAATAAGCTCTGAAACTTTGTTAAGTCGCATCTACAATTATATCACACAATTAGAGGTAGAAAAGTAAAACCAAGGCAAAGAAACATAACATACATGTAATATAATCCAAACTAATCGTATAGAATAAGGAGGAACATTCAGTATACCTGCTTAGCTCGCTTTCCAAATACAAAGAGCATTGCATCTATCACATTGCTTTTCCCACTCCCATTGGGTCCAACAACTGCAGAAAAGCTCTGACCCCCACCCAAAAAATAAATAAAAACATAAAATAGAACTAATAAGTAAATTCGTAGAGAGAGAGAATCGAATCTTCTGTAACTATATATGCGAAGCATTCTTCCTAAATCTTACACAAGATGCATTTTTTTTCGGCAAAAAGCAAAACTCCTAGCTTCCAATTTTACAAAACGAATAGCGCCTGGAAACTTATCGAGAGAATTTCAAAAACCCTAACCTTATGGAAAGGACCAACGCGTTGTTCACCGGCGTAAGACTTGAAGTTCCTCATAACCATTTCCCTGATGAACAGCCTTGGGGCCTTGGATGCTCCACGACCCGAGTCGGAGCCGTCTGCCATGAACTCGTCCTGCGTTTCCACCACCATTTTGCCCGAGTCAACTCGGAGCCTTCTGTATCTCTTTAGATTTCGTTTACCTAGTGCGAAGACAACTGAATAATACTAAGAACTGAGAAGTAGAAGCGAGATGCTTCTCGAAGAATTGGATTCTCAGGAATTTCAAGCTCCTCGCTGAAACCCAAAGCAACTGAATATTCTGAGTCTCCGATCTACATTTCTACATTTGAACCGCCAGTTTAAATTTAAACTTTTTTCGAAAATTAAAATAAAATAACATATTTTTATTTTTCGTGAAAAATAACGATTCTCGTTTCGGCGGGAAACTGAGAATTGCAAGGGGCCTCTCCTGCTCAAATGATACATGGGCCGTACAGTAGCCCATGAAGTTACTATTGGCCCACATAATAGTGAGCTGGCCAAATGTTAGGCCCAATATTTGAGTAGCATTACAATTTATTTTATCCGATATATATATATATATATATTTTTTCAAGGGTAAATTACTTAAATAGTCCTCAAACTTATACCCGAGTTTCATTTTGGTCCTTCAACTAAATTATTCATTCAAATGGTCCATCAACTCTTTATTATTTGGCAAATTGGTCCCACCGTCTAATTTTTTGTTATATTTAACTAAATTTTAGGGTAAAAATGACTTTTCATAATTAAAAAATAAAAATATGATTAAAATTAATACAAAATTATAAAAAAAATTGAAGAAAAAGAGAAAAACCCAACAGCCCCTCCCTCCAATTTCCTCTCTCCCATTCCCCCACGGACCCCTCCCTCCTGTTTTCCCCCTCTCTTTCTCTCTCTGCCATTCACCCTCTCACCCCCCTTCTCGGCAACATATATACCCCTCCCCCTCCCCCCTACCTGCATAACCAATCATAACCCATCCTGCAACCCCTTAGAGCAACTCCACCCATTTGCCCTTAGCCATGGCAAGGGGGAGAGCTAGGGCAGCCACTATTCACGTGAATAGTGGTTGCCCTTGCAAAATCCGAATTTTGTGTTTCCACCCGTTGCCCTTGCTAAGGGCAGTTACTATTCATTTTTTTGTTTTATTCACAACTTTTTTTACCTCAATAATTAATTTGGATAATATTTTCGGATAAGATTTTCGGGTTCCTACGTGTCAATACTATTCATATCTCATAATCGGATAAAATTTTCAATTTCAAATTTCAGATAAAATTAAAAAAAAAAATTGGCTGGTATTTATAGAAAAAAATTCATTAATTTTTGGGTATTTTTTAAAAAAATTTCCGAATTTTTTCCCGTATTTTATTGCAAAAAAATTGGCTGCCGTTTGATTGGATGAAAAAATCAGATCGGAGAGCCCAGACGACGCCACGTGGCAACAGGAAAAAAAAATCAAATCAGGGGGTACTGTAGCAGTACTGTAGCGATACTGTAGCGGGGTACTGAAGCGCTGACGTCAGCAGCCCTCGTTTTGGACCTCGGGCTAAAGCTGCCTTCGGGCCAGCCCGAGGTGGTGGGTCCCACACCCCCCCCCCGGCCTGGGCTGCTCCGCTGGAACGCAAATTTTTTTTTTCCCCCTAGCCTCGGGCTGGGCTGCTGCGATGGAAAGGCTCTTACCAATGTAACAAGAGAGAGAGAGAGTAAAAGCTTTTTATTTTATTTTTCAGTATTTATTTATTTTTAACATACAAAATGATGAATTTGCTCTCATATTTAACAGTAATATGAACATAATGTAACGGGGAACCAATTTGCCAAATAATAGAGAGTTGATGGACCATTTGATCGAATAATTTATTTGAGGGACCAAAATGCAACTCGAGTATAAATTTGAGGACCATTTGAGTAAATAATTCATTTTTTCAATTCAGACAAAGGGAGGGTGAGACTCCAACTATTACAGCAAATATGAAAGTAACTATTCTACCATTGGAATTATAAGCTCCCACATAATCAATTCAGTCTTGAACATAACAAATGTGGCATATATAGTTGAACATAACAATTAGAAATGGCATCACTAGGTTTAGTTCATTGATCGATCATGCCTTATAAATATTTACATTTGTCTATATAGTTAAAAAGGGCATGTCATAATTGTCAAATCCAGCTAAAAGTATAATTTTGTCAAAATCTAAGTGTCGAGTAAAGGATTTTGTCGTTGTTGCTATTTTGTCGTACTTGAATTTATAATTATCTAAGCAGCGTATCATAATTACTGAATCTAAAAAGTGATGTTTTGTCGGAATACGAATGTCGAATAAACGATCATGTTAGTTTACGATCCTGTTATTTTGAATGCCGACAAAAGTTTCGTTGGAATGAAATTACAAAATCATCCGACCGTTTATTTTCATCATTGTTTCATTTTATTTAGGTTTGTTGCATTGTTACTGTGATTTAGGGTTCTAAACAAGTGTAGTTTTATCTAACCGCCACCATATATATATATATATGTGTGTGTGTGACATTCCTGAATATTGCCTTATTAATAAGGCAATATTAATAAGAATAATTTTGGCTTTTCTTTTTCTTTTAAGAAAGTAAAACATAAATTAACTGACTTTTTTTTTTCTCCTAATAGAAGAAGAATAATTTATGAAAAAAAGAAGGGCATGGCAGTAAACTCGAGTAGGAAAAATCCAAGCTTGCGTAACCGTCGCAGATGAAAACAAGAAGAGAAAGCACCAGAAGTTGAAGGAAACGCAAAGCCCTTGTAAACAAAAGCATAGTTATGTGGCAGAATGACTGTATTACGCGTCCCTTTCCAGCCATGCCTTTCGCCAAATGGATTTTTGGCCTCTCTGCATTTTCTTACACTGCCGAACCTGAAGCAGGCTCGGCCTCGGCTTCGGCTCCGCCCGAGCCTCACCTGCACACAGCCTTATAAATGTGAGCTCTTCAACCAGTCCATGCAGCAAGCGATATTCACGCACTGAGAGAGAGAGAGAGAGAGAGAGAGAGTTTGAGAGAGAAGCTTAGAGAAGATCACAGTCGGTGCATTTATCTTCCTCTTTCTCTTTCTTTCCTTCAGTTCATTTCTCTTAGCACACTCTCTTTCTTTTCTTCTGCAACAGGGTTTTAAGAGACTGTCTTTGTCAATGATATTTTTCTTGTTTTTTTTTCCTCTAGATATTTGTGTAAACTAAAAGCCCTAAACTTGGTATGTATATAGTTTTTTTTGTTGCTAATTTGTTGTATAAAATGTGTGAGGATCTGGTGGATCTTATCGTGCATGCCTTGATCTGGCGCTGTAAAGCATTTGATGGGTTATTTTTTTATTTTTTGAAGCAGGCAACAGAAGTTAATTAATACGGAATTAATGGAGAACATGAACAAGGATCTGGAGAAAGCTGAGGCCTCTGAGATCATTGGCCATAGCAGCACAGAAACAACAACGAACGAAGTACTGGACTTGAACGAGGACCTAGAAGCAGGACTGGCGGAAACTGGTGAAGAACATGTACAAGTAGAATGCAGAATTTGCCAGGAGGAAGATTTCATGGACAAACTGGAAGCTCCTTGCCACTGCAACGGCACTCTCAAGGTATTTATCAGCCGTTAAATATAATTATTTTGTTTGTTTGGTCAGATTTGCCTATTGATTACAATTGGGTTTGAATGTGTAACGTTCTTTGTCCTGAAGAAGACGTGCCAGTAGGTGTCAGTCAACTTTTTGTTTGCTTTTTTGTGTGTATGTGTTGAAACAAGTCAAAGAAACTCATGCAAATAGCTAGCCAGCTCCTTCGTTTCTTTTGTTTTGTTTTGTTCTTTTTTTAATTTTTTTTCGTCATCAAATTCTTTTTTCTTTCTGGAAATTAACATCAAGTATCGGTGCCTGAAGTGGCTAGCTAGAGTCGTCTGAGATCTAACTAGCTTCTTACTACTGGCTGTCTTTCTTTTCCTCTTTGTATAGTTTGCTCACAGGGATTGCATTCAAAGATGGATCAACAAGAGGCTAAGCATGATTTGTGAAATCTGCAAACAGGTATATATATTGTACATGCTTCCTTAATTTTTTTTTCATTTCCTCGAGCCCTTAATTTCCTTGACCACTAGAAGAATTTTATTTGTTTTATTTCTCATATGTGTCACTGATAAACAGCCATACCAGCAGGATTATACGATGGTCCTGCCTCCACCACAAGATGTTCAAGCCGAAGACGTCACCATTGGCATCAGGCAAGGCTAGTTAATTAATTATATGTCTCTGATTAGCCTAATAAATTAATAATTAAACATGTTCATGATTAGTCATGACCTTAAAACACTCGTATAATTAATGATACATGGGGTACGTGTGTGGAGTTGTGTTGCAGGGATGGCTATTTCAACGTTAATAACACTCCGGTGGTGGCGGCCGTGCAAGCTCAACGGGCGGCACAGATTGACGCAGCAGCAGCAGAGTACATGCGGCGGCAGCAGGCCTATAATGCTAGAGCCTTCAGTGGCAGTGCAGTGTGCCGCATTGGAGCTGTTATTGTAAGGCCTACCTAATTTAATTTAAGTCATAATTATTTAATTATCATTCAAGTATAGTCCACAAACATATGATATAAAGACTAATTAGATGATTATTAATTGTATCTGCAAATTTTTCCAACTTTAAGAGAGAAATTTTTGTGTACATTTTTGTAGTGTACTGGTATTTACGCTCTAATAATAGCGGGAGAAATTGGAGGCATGCTCCATTTCCGAATACGCTCACCCCCCAACCCATGAATTGTATCAATCTGTTTGCTATTGGCTTGCAGTGCCTGGCGTTTCTGGTAGTGAAAGATGTCTACTACTTCATAGAAAATGGAGATGAAAGTGACCTCGTAACAATCTTTTGTGTAAGTGGAATATCACAATGAACCTAAGAAATCTATTGCTTGTTGAGATTTATTTGGATTTTATATAACTCAGCTCCATGATGATTGATCGCTCTGCACAGGTTATGTTTGGTTTCTTTATACCATGCTATCTTCTGGCATGGTTTGCGAAAGCGTTGGTAAGCACTTCCTCAAACTCAGATACATATAACTCCTATTTCACCCTCACCTCTTTCATGGTTTATTTGTTCAATTATATCTAGTTTTCATTAATCATTTAGTTTTGTGAACAGAACCAAAATGAAGGGAATTCGGCAGCTTCAGAGGTTGCAGTTGCGTCGCAGTCTAGCGTCCCCGTTGTGTCACAGTCTAGCATGAGGTGACCATCCACATTGGTCGCAAAAACTACTCCAAAGTTGTAGATTTCAGCATTGAATCAACATTTGAAGTTATGCGTTTGTAATGTCTTGGCAAGTAATCTGCGTATGCGTGTGTATGATCGGGATGTGTATGTGTGCCAGTATTATCTGTGGATTGTATGTTTGACAACAATATATAATGATGGTTGTATTGTATAAACCCATATGCTTAAATTGTGTTCCCTTGGTATGTAAATCATGCAATGTAGTGAGTTTTATTTTGTGATTTTCTGAACTTTCTTTGTTATGAGTGCATGAGCAAACATTGTGTGATATAGCATATGTTAATCGGTATAGGCCTAAACATTTGTTTGGGCTTTTGTTGAAACTAAAGTCCTTGGGCCTAAGAACAAAATAAGCCTTTGGGCATTGTGACCCATCTAAATGCTTCTCAATCTATATCCTTTTTTCAGAGGCTTCATCAATGCATGTCAACTGGAAAAGTGGTAATGTGGGATTCACATGCAAAGGGGAAGTCTTATCATGAAGGTGACCATGTTTGGACAAGCACACTATCAATGATGAGCACAAGACACAGGTCAATTCCATCCAATTCCTTCCTACTTTGAATTCCAAGTTCTAAATGGGATCTGAGACCCATCAAATTACAAAAAAACAGTGCAAATTATATAAATGACTCCATTTGTAAAATCAGAAATTGCATTGATGACAATAGATTAGGAAATCTCAGTTTAAGCAAACTCTCTCAGTGACTGGATCACAGACAATTTTAAGTCCCTCTAACCCAACAAAACAAACCCAGTTCAAAGAGAATTCATACATATACTTTATATATAGTTAGTACATATAGCTAGGATAATTAAACTCAAAGCAGATAGTGGGTGGGCTGATCAATCAAAATCAAGGGCACTTGGGTCCTCCTTGCTGGGTCTTCCAGTTGTTGTAGCAAGGGCACGCAGCTTTGTTCCCATAATACCCTGGGGGCACACACAGACACTTTTTGCAGCATTTCTGACAGAAGAACATGCAAGGCTTGTGGTACTGGGTCTGGCCGCATCTCCTCGAGCATTGTGATGGGCATTCTGGTCATTTTAAGACGAAACAAAATTGTATCAGTCAGTCTGCTCTGCTCTATCAAAATAATATTCAGAACGGTCAAAACGGTAAAGGTCCCCCCACCAACCCAGATACAATGGCAACGAAGACCATGGTCAATATTATTTGGACCCAAAACCACAATTTTAATCACAAAAATCAAAGCTTTTTATTTTTGGGTTAAAAAAGCAGTAAGCTTTAACTTATAATAGTGAAGAGTAACTACTTACGGTAGCTCTTGAGGCTCCCAGGTCCATATGCATTCTGAAAAATGAAAAAAAAAGGAACAAAATTTAAGCAAAATGTAAGCATTCCAGTTCAAAAACAAGGTAAAAATGCAAGCTTTATAGAAATATAACGACCCACATTATTTTCTATGTATGAAAAGTGTCTCTATGTGAGAGAGAGAGAGAGAGAGAGAGAGAGCTTACATTGCCACCGTGATGACCTCCATGTCCATTATTTGCCATAACCTGCAAAAATCAGTGAACAGAACATGTTATTTATGTGAATGTTGGTTTCTTTCTAATTCTCATTGGGGAAAATTTTGTTGCTTTTGTCTGAGTGGTGTTGAAGAGGGAAAGTTCATACCGTGGTTTGAAGCATGGAGATGGCAAGGAGTGCCAAGATCAAGGCAGCAAAAAACTTAGCCATGGCCATTGCCACAGAGACAGGCCCCTCCTAAAATGGCAAAGACTCAAAACCGAGAGAACGAGAAGAAGAAGAGGGGAAATCAGATTCAAGTGTGGTGGGTACTTGCTTTGCTGTTGTGGGGGTATAAATAGTAGAAAATCAATGGCAGTGTGGGTAGTTGCCGGTGTGAGGGATGATATGGTTGGGTACATCCCACTCACACAGACTACTAGTTGTGCTAGCTCAGCATGAGATGACACGTGTGCAGGCACGTTGATCAAAGCGGCTAGGATTCTTCTTTTTTTTTTTTTTTTTTGGTGGGACAAAATCAAGCGGCTAGGATAAGTGTGAATGAAAGTACGGATTTTGCTGAACTTTCATGTATAAAGTATACCCCAACTTAGAGAGAGAGAGAGAGGTTCAACATTATCCAACCTTTTTTGCCCTTTAGTCTCTTTAGTCATCATTACTTCAAAAATATCCGTCCGATCTGAGTTTACTGTTGGATATAAAATATCAAATTTCAGGGCTTATTTTGGTTCGCGAAGCCTTTATAAAATTTAGGAATTATTTGGTTCACGAAATCAACTTCTTGAGAATCAACTAGCAATATACTTCTTCATCATGTGCTCAACATAAAAGATGAGAATTGCAGAGGCCTATTCTTGCAGCATTGTTATTTATTAGATTTGGTAGGAAAATGGTGAGTCATAGTGGAAAGAAACACAAGTAAATACATTGTAGGCGAACTAGGAACTAGCTAGTTGGGTTGGATCGAAAGTTGAAACAATGCCGAACATTTAGAATCTATGGGTAGCTCATGTTGGTGTCATGCGTAAGCAAGTCATTTCGGCTCAAAGTTATGAACTTGCTTTAATGCTGATGATAAGAGTAGCTAATCTTTCCTTTAATTTTCTTTGTGAAAAGAAAAAAAGTAGCTCATGCTACAGCCTTGAAAACAGAAGGCAACAAAAGAAAGTAGCCCTAGCCCAGATTTGAACTTTAATTTTTATCTTGAATAATTTAATAGGGCAGACGGTGCATTGAAGGAGGTAGTTAGCGATTTGAGAGTAAGGGTCCCGCAAGGTCACAGTGGACAGAGATTCCAAGAAAACGGAAATTTTTGTTTATTTTGAGGACGATAAATAATAATGTTTGTTTAATTCTCTGTACCGAAAAAGGAAACAATAAAATTTAATAAAAGGGCAGGGTTTTCCCTTTAAAAAGTGGGAGGCTTTTGTCCCTCTGCATGTGCTTCGACTGAGCACAGCACATGACCCAAAGCTGATGACCTGCGGGTGGCTGTGGTTTGACAAAGGTGCGTATCCTGCGCCCTCCCATCCCATGCCTTTCGTTGTCTGGTCCAAATCTCATCTCAGTGCCAATGAGATTGGGTAAACTGTGAATGGTTTTTGGACTGCTCTGCTCTAAATTCACCGACATATCTACTTCTGTTTGTTCCTATATGCAACTCCAATTTCTAGTTTAGATTTCAGAGTCCACACCCTTCAATCCTTTTTGAAACAATCTTTTAATCCAACAAGCCATTAAGCAATCAACCAATAATATGCTAACATCAGTCGTTTACGTTTATGTCAATGACTATGAAATGTCGATGCATTGTAGAATTCATCCGTTCATAAGCGATATATGTTAGCACTTCTGAACGTATTCAATTGGTACTTATTCTTCACTAATCATTATATTAGGCAACTATTGAAATTTAAACTTTGCTACTAAAGATCAATTTGACAAAACCAACGAAGAAAATGAGAAGACCTCGTGTTACATTCGGTCTAACTTTATCTATAAAATAATGCAAATCATGTACTGCTCTAGAAGTACATAGGTTTAAAAAACTGATAAAATCAAATCATGCTTTTAGTGTATGGAAATATTTATAGTGAGCATGTGTTGGAGGTAATTAAATGGGGCATATGTTGTCATAATCTTGATTTCCATCCTCTCTCAAATAGTGAGTGCTTTCTTAAATTGGAATTGGCACTTGGCAATTGGAAGGCACCAACTTGAGAAACAACAAAATTGCATATGAAATGGATGTTGCTTTTATGCAAATTGCAATTGGAATATAAAAATGAGTCAAATTGAAGACCCTCCAACAAAGGGTCGTGTATTGCACGGTACATCACGGAAAGGAGCTTATTCCCAGCACTCATGTTGTTTCATGTGAGTGTGATCCAACTTCCACATGGGAGGGGCCTAAATTTAGTTTAAACCCACATGACTAACTCTTACTCCAACTTCTATCTTTTTCCTACTTGGGGGAAGATTTAATAAACCCTTGTCTTATTAATGTCACAAATATTTACACGCGGCATTTGATCAATGAGGGGTTCTTAATAGTCATCCTCTGATCAATAAACTTCTTAATATTGGACGGTTGAATTGAATCCCTTCAAACACTCTCTTAACCTAGCCCACTCCTTAGAGCACTTCCACCCCTATGGGCAAGGGTAAGTAAAGGGCTGTCACTATTCATGTGAATCGTGGCAGCCCTTGCAATTTTGTTTCCACCCAGGGCAAGGGAAAATTTGATTGAACACCCCAGGTGCTGCAACATATCTTGTAGCAGTGGAAAACAAATTTGAAAAGCACGCTGACGCCAGCTTGGCCTCAACAAACCCAGGCAACAGCACGGTCTGGATCTACCTTTGGGCTTACTTGGGTTGGTGGCCCCCGCGTCTTGCCTGGGCTGCTTTGCGTGCACTGGAGTCGTCTCGCTGGCGAGGGTCCCTCTCTGCCCGGCCATGCTGCGGGGGACTTGCTCTTATAGAAACTCCTTTGTTTGAGAGGCCCCCATTCTTTGGGTCTGCTTGATCCGGCCCATTGGAAATATAATAACTTACATTTTGACCCAAATGTAAACTTGGGTCTAACTTTTACGGGCATGTGCATCCTCTGACTGGGTTTCTTACTTCTGGGCCCCGAAAAGTTAAGCCGTCGCATTATAAGCCATTATTATATTATGGTGGGACCAAACTTTCATTGGGCCTCTTTGTACCTAATTGTTTCCGCTTGAGGTTGAAGATTGGGTTTTGTTTGGATGCAGGAGTAGACTGGTCACCGGACTATAACAAATAGAAACATGAATCCCAGCCCAGTGGTTGGCCACATTTAATTGGGCAGTAATTCAGTCGCATTAGGATCAAAGATGAACCATTATTCTTACTAATCCAACAATAATACAATCCAGGCCAACGTTTCAAACGGCCGACCGGGACTGAACTTGAAGACGATGGTACAATACTCTCTTCCGGGGCCGACAGAATGCAGGACCAGCAGCATCTGGTTCAACCTCATATGAGTTTGATTCAGGTCCAGAGAAATTACAGTCTGTACCAACATGAAAGGACTATATTAGGTGGACTTGTCAGACGCCATTAATGGGATAAGCTCTGATGTTTCATGAGCCCAGGCGATGATGCTGCCCTTCTCAGCCTGCCTTCCTTATGTGGTCTTCCGGGGTCCATGTTTTTACTTGCTAATTAGGCAATTAATTGTAAGATCTATGTTAATATAAGCGATAGTTTAAACTACAAAGGAGATGAAGGTTTCTCACACACGCACTACTATAGTGTCACCGAGTTCAAACATGAGAGGAGACCACTACTGCAAGTCAAGACCTTTTCGTTTTTGGGTTCAATTATACGTGTGAAACTTGGTAGGAGAAGTGGCATCATAACAATTATTGCCTTGTGTAAGAAACCACAATCTGTCAATCAAGTTTGTTTCTTTCATAATTTGCCTAACCTCATCCTCCTCGTGGGTAGTAGCTCAATCAACATTGTGTTTCTGGAAACATAGGGGTCATGATTTTGACTCTTGCACACTCATCTTTGGGGCTAAGCTCTCTGCAATAATTTTAGCTGCCGTGTCCATTGAAGTTGTACTCACTTTATGCCCAGAGTCTCAACTCAACCCTTCCGTTTTTCATGAGTTAATCAAAAACAAAATGGACATTAATAACTTAATGAGAAATTACCGATGTGTCCTCCATGTAGGTCATAGACCACATATATGGGAAAACAAAAACATAAGTGCAAAATGTCCCATCTCCTCTCCACATATTAACTATTCGATCCTACTGATAATATAGTATAGTCCAGTAAAATATGGTCTTGATTTGCATACCAGAGATTGCAGATTCGAACTTCTATGTCATCGTAGTTGTGTGTGTAAGAAATTCTCCACTCTATAGTTTAGACACTACCGCAGTTTACATTATTTTCCGATATGCAGTCATTTTAATTGGTTGATATTGATAATATTCTTTATTTTCACAATTTGACAAAGGTCAGTGCATCTCATTTATTGCCTACCCAAAAAAGGAACACTGTTAGAAAAGCAATGTGAGCTCATGCAGGCAGCTTTTTTTTACCGCGTACGACCCTATTAGTTTGAAATTTCACCACCCCCAAATGTATGATATCTTGTTGGTTTTGAATCCGAGGTTTGGCAAAAGGACAACAAGTAGAGCAACCGTCCTAAAGAAACCAACCAGTTATGGCCTAGCTCTATCTAGTCTTGGTCATATCATATATATGTAAGAAAATAATTCTTGAAGAATCTATGATTAGGACTTAGTAGTTAGTTAAGTCTATACGCACCAACTACATCTAGAAAAATCCTACTTAATTAAGTACTAGGAATTGGAACCCAAATACCTGATTCTTTAAATCTTTTTGACTTTTTCAGCACAGGAGAGGATGGTCAGGTTTTGAATAGTTTGGCAAGTAGTTGCTGGGCTGGTTAGGCAATGGAGCAAATTGGTGATTCTCAAAATTAATAAAAATCAAAATCCTACTAGTAACGGGTTTAGCCAAGTTGGTTAAAGAACGAATGTGCTCCTCACTTTGCACTAGTGTTCGAATTTTCCTGAATGCAGTTTTGATTAAATTAAAGTAAAATATCACTCGAGTTAAATAAAATAAAATAAAAAATCCCTACGGAGGGGGTAGGTCCTTTGTGGGTCAGTTTTCATGTAAAAGTACAATTCAACAAATATGAGGAGACACAACAATAACCCTTGACTCCTAGACTCCTAGCTAGCTCCTTGTGAATCTATCTACTCAATGCGTGAATTAACTTTTCCTTTACTTTGACCAAAATAATTACAAGAGTAATTAGTGTAGGTGTACTCTTCTCTTGGTTTGAGATGACAGTGCCTTCCACTTGCAAACCAACCTCAGTTTTGTTCAAATTTAGTCTCTTGGATATCCCTAGCTAGGTAAACCAGAGCTTAAAAGTTGAAAACTTTAGAAGAAACGAAATAATGTGGAAATGGCCATCGATATCGCATTTATATTTCAATGATTGTGTACTATCGGGGAGGTAGTATTTATGTAAACCACCATTATTACTTGGGATGGTAGGGAAATTGGTCTCATGGTCCAAATGCATCTCTGGCCTTTGTTAAATGATTCAGGGTTTTGCAATTGATTTCCATTGGGTAGCTGAGCTTTCACACTTTGGCACACTCACTCAGGTTGCATTTCGTAGGATTTTCAACATTTGTCATCCGCAACCATATGATAAGATTCAAGACGACGCACACAGGAAAAAAAAACCTGTTGTTTCTACACCTGGGACTTCTCTGCTAATTTGATAATCGTACGTTAATTCAAACACAGGCAAGATTAGAGTTGCTGTTTTTCGCTACGTGCCAAATCTGGGGTTACTTCGCTCTACATATGATCAACAAGTTAATTGTGGTGTCTCTTTCGTTGCACTGATCAACAAGTCTTCATTTAGAACTTGAGTTGAGGGTTCAGTGTCAATACCAGTACTTTGGGTTGGACCGTAACCCATTGCTAAATTGGATTTGTGCATGCACTTGGTTACTTATTGATCTCAATTAGGCCCACCTAACAAGATTGCCTATATCTACATATACTTCCGATTTTCAAAATTCTTTATCGAGTCCTAATCATGTTTCATAGCATCGTACATTTAGTATATAGAGGGGCGAAGTCATTTCTAGGCCTGAATTGTCTTTGTTCCGCTCTCCTTATGCTCCTCTAAATATAAGATTTGTTCATGTTAGACTGTTGTCTAATTTAATGAATTCAATTCTATCATTTACTGAAAACGTTGAATCTGTGAAACTTGAACTACTAGTTCATTTTAATTAAAATAATCTTGTTAAGTCCGGCCTCGCTGTCGAACATAGGCCTCCGCCAAATTATCCCTGAAATTAACGTAGACATTGAAAGGTTAAAAAGCAAAGAGGAAAGGGTAGGAGAGTGGAAGTAGAAGTCATAGCAAAATTTGACGGTGTCCCTAAGGATGGGAAGTTTGTAGGTATGAGCTAGGTGGAGCGTCCCTATACCAGCCACTGGTCATGGTCATGGTCAGGATTGATTAGGAGCTTTGGCTGGCTAGCAAGCTCAGAAGTTGTAATTTGGGTCCCATTTGAAGATCATCGGCCCCACCAGTGAATCCGGGAGCAAAGTCAGTAGATTTAGGCGTGCACAACTTGGAACTTGGGACAAAGTCATACCACGAACACAGCTCTGTTTTCCATTAGCAATTTAAAAGTGGTGGAGGGCCTAAGAGAAATGAGTCTAAACCTATAATTAAGGCATGTATCCTGATACAGGCAAGCCCCATGTGCCTTGTGTCCCCAACCCAATAGTCCCTTACCCTAATTGGAATGAATGGGTTCACCCATCCTCACAAACTAAAGATATGGAAAGAACCGAGACATACACTCAGAAACTTTAGATGTGTAAGTAAATATTTTTAACTAGAGGATGTGCAAATGATGCCATCGCACAACTCCCGATTTTTAGGGCTCCAGGCTCCCGATTGTGTGGCTAACAGAATTCTTTTTCGGAGTTTTACAATTTTACCCATTGAATTTGTTTAAAAAGGGTTGAACTTTAGGGACCTCTTGTTGACCATCAAAATCCATATTCATGAGACAAAAAATTATAATTAGTAAAAAGAACAATATCCGTTTTCTCAATTTTGTAGCCGCATGGAAAAACAAGGTTGCGTACTAACGGGTTGCGAGTTTCGATGCAAAATGGACGCAACGGCTGTGGATTAACACGCCCTTCGATGATTAAACCTTAGCTCCTCCATGATTGGCCTGCCGACGTCATCCCCGACCTCTTCACCATTCCCACCGCTAATCTTAAATTTAATTACTGCGTCAAATAATCCCATGATTTATAAACTACACCGAAGTCAGTGCACCCAAACGGTTTTCAGGAAAAAGTTACGCACCGCACCGCACCACACGCTACGATAGTCCTGCAAGTACACCGGAGCACTCCCCTCACCTTATCTTAATTCATTATTAACGCTGACCAATATTTACTACCGGTTTACGGGGCCACGTGGCTCACACAAGGGACCAAGTGTAGCACACGTGTCGCCACATTCTTATCCGTAAACACGTGGCGTTGTTTAAAGGCGGTTTATTACGTATTAAGTATGATTAAGCTCATGCACTAAGCTCCAAATTCGAGTGTCTCAGAATTCTGCGCTGCCGACCCAGTTTTACGGTACGGTTTACGTAAGGCAGGGACAAAGGCTGCAGGGAAACGATGTCGTTTAGGCTTGAGAAGACCAAAATGTTATTTGGACAAACTCCCGTTCAGCGTCCGAAAATTCTCTCAAACCGACAAAGATACTTTTGATTTATAGGGACGTGGTGTCCTAAACACCCTGGATTTTTTACGGATTCGCTCCCCTAACGTTCTAAAAAGCCAACATTACCAAATGGCCCCGTTGGATGTAAATTACAATCATGTACCGCTGTGGTTTGTGAATTAGGGTAAAATGGTCTTTGTGTGTGCTCATGCCACACTGTGTCAAAAAGTGTAAAGGAGGGTGGCAAAAACAAATTTGAAAAGGTTAGCGGTCCAGGGGCTCACTGTGCAACTTGACCAAATTAAAGATGGGTTACAGTCAATGTCTGAGATTTGCAGGGCCTCATCACCTTAGGTTTTTATTAATTCATTCACATCATGAACAACTACCCGGCTCAACTCGGCCTGGTCTACAACCGAGTCAAAATAATTATTGCTCAAAAATGCTTCCTTAATTCCGAGGGTAGTATCCCAAGACCAAAATGGTTTATGAGAGAGAATAATTTGCATGTCACGGGAATAATACTATTTTATATTTTTATTCATTTAAGTTGGTTACGTGGAATTCTTATCATGCGTGACGGTATATGAAAATAATGTTACTCCTACAGTATATAGGTTTTTTAGTTTATGAAGAGTAGAACTTACATGTCACGAAAATAACACTATTTTTACTATTCCATATCACAGACATGACCCATGATTAGGACTTGAAATATAAGCCTCTCCTAAGTCCATGATTTGATTAAAATCATAATGGGAAATTTTGGGGGTCAATTTCAATGGAGCTAAAGCCGCTAAGGTATATTTATTACACACAACATCGATCTAACCCCAAGGTGGGGTCAGCAACTTAACCATGGATTAGAACCAGGGTTAAAAAAACAAGTGGTTAAGAAGGACAACCACAAAACCCAGATTTTTATTATCGACAGTCATCACTGCTCATCATCATCATCCTCTCAGCTAAGCTCCTTCTCCTTCTTCCCAAAAAGCTACCATCTTTCTCACTCCTCCTTATTTTTTTATTCTCTTTCTTCCCATCCTGTGAGCTCCCATGGCTGCTCAAAGCAATAATCTGTATAAAAATCTAACCCTAACCCCTTAAAGCAGCTGCCTTTTTAGCTTTTCTCTGTTTCATTTTTTGACTTTGTGCTCTATTTTTTCGACACCTTAGATGTTCGAGCGATGGATATAACCCCTTCCATCACCACCACCACCAACAACACCACCAGCACAAAATCTCCGGAAGCAGACAGCGAAACCCCGACCCGGATCCAACCCGCGAAGCCTTTGTCCTTCAGCAACGGCGTCCTCAAACGCCACAACCCCCACCCCCACCACCACCACCTTCACCACCACAACATCCCCATCACGCCGGTCATCGTCACCTACAAAGAATGCCTCAAGAACCACGCAGCCACCTTGGGCGGCCACGCTCTCGACGGCTGCGGCGAGTTCATGCCCTCTCCAACGGCCATACCCACCGACCCCACCTCGCTAAAATGCGCTGCATGCGGCTGCCACCGCAATTTCCACCGCCGTGACCCCGAAGACCCCATGCCGCCATCCACCGCCGCCGCCACGACGCACGTCATCCGCGTTCGGGCCACCCCCCCATTCTCCCCCGCCGTGACCCCGAAGACCCCAGGCCGCCATCCACCGCCGCCGCCACGACGCACGTCATCGAGTACCAGCCCCACCATCGCCACCATCCTCCGCCGCCGACTCACGGAGGAAATCGAAGCCCCAATTCGGCTTCCCCGCCCCCGATCTCGTCCTCTTACTACCCTTCTGCCCCCCACATGCTCTTGGCTCTTTCGACGGCTCATGAAAACGCCTTGGGCGGTCCTAACAATCATCATAGTCCTCAACCCCCAATTGTTTCGCCGAGCCCGAACGCGAGGAAGCGGATCAGGACCAAGTTCTGCCAGGAGCAGAAGGACAAGATGTACCAATTTGCAGAGAGGGTTGGGTGGAAGATGCAGAAGCGGGACGAGGAGATTGTGCAGGAGTTTTGCAATGAGATTAATGTGGACAAAGGGGTTCTCAAGGTTTGGATGCACAACAATAAGAACACCTTTGCCAAAAGAGACGTCATCAATGGCAGTGGCGGTGGTCTTAGCGGTGGGGTTAGCAGACCCAACATTCTGCTTGAGCAAGCTCACAACAACGGCAACGGCAACGGCAACGGCAACGGCAACAACAACAACGTCGACGATGAAAATGATGAACACAACGACGACGAAAACAACAACAACAGCGATATGCAGAACCTGAATCACTACCAGGGTACTGATGGGGGTGCGGCGGGACATGCTGGCACCAATGGGTCGTCGTCTTCTTCTTGATCCTTTTGATGAATAATAAGGAGTTTAGCAGTAGAGTAAGACCAGTACTATTACTTAATTACTTAATTAGTTGCTCTCTCTCTTAATTTTCTTTTTTTCTCTCTTTCTCATTGTGTTTAGTTTAATTAATGAGACGATCATCACTTCACTTTGTGAGGATAACCTGGGACGGGAGAGATTGATTGATCCAAAAAAAGGGAATTAATTTGCGTATCTTCTGTTAGTTTTTCATAGCTTCAGTACTTTTCTCCCATCTCTATCTGTTTTGATATTAGCAGTTTCATCCCCTGATATCATTTATTTCTTCTTTGCGTATTGATTTAATCATGTGAAGCTAAGTTTATTTGTGGAACCCCAAAAACAAAAAAGTAATGAATTTTTTCAATGTTCATGTTCTCTGAGAATAAGCTGCAGTGGAATTACAGTGTGCTCTTTTTCTTTTTCAGAAGGGGAGAGAGAGAGAGAGAGAGAGAGAGAGAGAGGAGAGAGAGAGCTTTGTAATCTCTGAATCTAATGTCTCATCACAGAGAGATTTTCTTATCTTGTGTCTGATAGAAAGAAGCAGAAAGTGTTAGCGCAAAAACATAAGATTGGGGGCAGTTGCAAATTATTCTAGATTATCCTTTATCTTTACGCATTTCTTTGCTTTTAATTATCAAGCTAGAGAATGATCCGAGAGATCTAAAGAAACCATTTTAAATCAAAACCCACATCCCCATTATTACTCTTTCATTTTTCACCAAATTTTTAACTAGGTTGGCTTGTTATATATTATGGGTATGGAGCCTACCCTGCGGACCATATGGTGCTGCCATGGATATTCATAGTTTCTGACCTTATATTTGATGCCTCTAAATCGAGAAAAAGGCATGCATACAGGAAGGAAAAGGGATGCGAATGTGTCACCTTTTGGTGGGTTTGGTTTTGGATGGTAGGCTACAACACAATTAGGGACTACTCTAAGTGTTATTTTAATTAAAAAGTTAATTTGATCCGAAAGTAATGATTAATTGGCTAAAACAAACATAATCTAATAAGGTAAGTTAGTTAACTTGGAGATGTAGTAATGGCTTTGTCACTTACCTTTTAAGGGAAGCAGCAGATGGATTATATTATCTTAATGGAATTAATTTATATTATAATCTTACAGATGATGATGATGACGCAAGTGGTACTTGAATATCAAGTGTCTTTTCCACCACACCCCTACTGTGTGGGTTTGTTTTGGTGTTTTGTCATTCATGAAGTCAGTAATCTTGTTTTTGTGGGGGCGTGTCCTGCGCCTGCATGCCCTTTCCTCACTCCAACTGCCAAGTATGGGTCGCTCAGTCAATTACCCTTTTGGGCGTTTTAGTGGCAGATGGGGATGGCCCTTTCCATGAGACGTGGTTCTAGACTTGCCTATCCTTAGTTAAAAGTTTAGAGCAATGTTGAAAATAAAATAAAAACTCGTACGAGATTGATCTTGACCAATGATCATTGGTGTATGTGGAGCTCAAAATGCATCAAACGGTCGAATTAGGTTCTGATCGATTAACCGTAACAATCTTAGTGCGCGGAGAGGCTAATCTTCACCGTTGATGCATGTACACATGGGGTTGGATATATCTTGACCGTTGTGGATGTAGAACTCGCAACTACATTAATAATAAGGAACGACCCATACAAGTGTGGGTTGGCCGTTGTATTATCTTAGCATTCTCACCTGCACGAAAGTTGATCTTAACTGTTGATGCATGTTGATGTCGGTTAATTGTAATTTTACAAACTTCATTAAGATGCTGCGAACTATGCCAGAATGATCGGGTGGTTAATTATGATAGTAAGTACATGAGTTGGGAGGGGGGACCATTAAAAATCTATGAGTTTTTTTCATAATTGAATGGGAAGAGAGACCCTTTTCTTCACATTTAGTGTGAATGAAGTTGTAGGAATATACAGGGTCCAATTAAAGAAAATCAGTTATTGTGGAATGAGAATGATTGCTTAATGAGGGAGTTGAAAGTGAACAAGTCATTTGATTCTAAACCAAAAAAAAGTGACAAAGTAATTTATCTTGCACGTCACCTTTTACCAGAATGGGAAAACATATGGCAGCAGGCATGGGTTTGGTGAGAGAGTAGCCAGAAGCTAATTAAAACTGCACCATAATTACATGGTACTGATTAACTAACACAAGAAACAGGTAATGGAACCCACCTCTCCAACGCACATGGAGAGTCAGCTTTTTGGGATGTTGGGATTTGATCCTCCCAACAAGCTGTGGATGATTTGTAACTTTGTTCCTAGCCCAGAATTGCTTGTGAAGAAAGAAACAAATGGATTAAGTTTAGGGTTTGTACTTAATTGTAGATTTTGAGAGGCAATTAGATGTTAATTAATTACATGGACTTAGAAGATTCCTGCAACACTAGCAGAAAATGTTACTGTCAAGAAAATGGAGTGGTGGGGATGATATGAAATGAGAGAAGCATATATATTTTACTTTGAGAGTCATCATGCAGTATGTTTCCCCTGAAATGCAAGTCCAGGCAAGACGTGACTGGGACACTGTTGGATCGGTTTGCCCAAATGAGTGCCAGAAAAGATGATGTGTTGTTATATTTATAAAAAGAAGAAGAAAAACGATTTCAATGTGCTTAAATTATATGTGTGTGGTATGGCAGCATGTGATTTAAAGAGAGAAAACAGTACAGGGAACTTGGGGAAGTGGATAACAGATAGAATAAGCACACAAATTGAATTTGAGGCACATGAGATGAGATGACTTTGTTTTTGTATGGTGTTGTGTGGTGTTATAATCTCATCTTTGTTAGGAGGGGGCAATTAAGTTTTATTTGTGAAGTCTAGTCTATTTTCCTTGGATTCTCATAGGGGAGCTTTCAAACTTATAGCCATATTTTGGGTCACTATAGGGATTTCTTTAGACTAGTGGATTCTCTCTAGACCACTGGATGGGTCATCTTGAATTGAGCATAATCCAAAAAACCAAATGCAAAGTGGGGAAATTAGCACCGAGTCACTTTTGAAGAAAGCTCCAACGACGAGGTAAGGCCTACCAAGGCCTTTTTTGTATTTAAGTTTTACACCAAACTTCCATCTCTAGTTAAACTCTCGTAAGAATGACAAGTAACTTATAGCTTTAGTGGTTAAAAGCAGTTATTTACGTATCCAAGTTCTTATGTTCAAATCTCTAAGGAGGCGATGATGTCTGTAGTGGCGGTGGCAACAACGACGGTAGTGACTCTGTTGATTTTTGATTATTTGTCTGCAGTTTTTTTATTTTGTAATAATTGCATAAACTCCTTATGAGTTGGGTGTTTGATTGTTTTCTAGTCTCTACTTGTATTTTATACTTGTGAGAGTTAAAAAAAAATAGATTATTCGATTACAAATCCAAAACAAAAGTATAAAGCACACATAACAATTTTGAGAAATTAAAAAAGTAAGTTTGAAAATCCTAGAATTAGGAATATTTCTCCTTTAAAATAAGTTGTGGTGGTTGTTACCCCGTGATGTCCCTTTGGATCGATGGTGATTGGAGGTTAACATCCTCCACATCGATACACAATTCTTTAACCTATACCTCCGTTGGGGATGGTGGGTTAAAGAAAGAAGGTTACAGCTGAATCGATCATGGAAAAAAAGAATAAAAAGGAAGAGAGAGAGAGAGAGAGAGAGAGAGAGAGAGAGAGAGGAAAGCAATGTGTTAATTATCAAACCTTTCATGATTTATAAACCCAAAACACAAAGACCCTCCACTTGCTTGATATTAACACAACGCAGGGAGCAGCTGTACATTCCTCCACGATGTGATTTTCTTTTTAACTTTTTCAGAACCACAACAACAAAGGATTCATCTGTCCTTTTCAGTTAGTTTATTTACCACGCTAGCTATCTTGAACTACTTTGTATATTTACCATTAACATCATAAGCATGCAAACATAATATTTGTTTGAAAAGGAAACAGTGTTAAAAGTACTGCAAGTCAATGAAGGACCACACAATTATTTGCAGCATAAAGATTAATGCTTAGTGACTTTGTGGTCCTAACAATGTTCTTTGGACAATCTCTATCGTTCATATATATATACATATATATATTCCTTATAATTTATCACCCTAATCTCAATACACTAGTCTTATAAATTTGGACACATAACCCTAACTTCCAGCTTAATTACTTCTCACTAATTTGGGTTTATATGTATTTTCCTTACGTTGTGACGATGTCTTCAAGATCCACAATGAAATCCAGCACAATGCTTTTTTTTTTTTTTTTTCAGTCTACGTTTGCAAAAGCAAAAATTGACCTTTCCATATATCTTATATTCCAACCAGTTTTGTAGCCTTGTTTCTGCAGAAGAAGAAAAGAAGATAAGAAGAAGTATATACAACCTTTATGAGAGAATAAAGGTTGCACACTTGCTTAAGATAATAGGACATTTCTGATAAAATGCGATAGTATTTTATTAGATCAATATGAATAAATAGTATAAAGGACACAGATGTAAAGGGAGCCATCTCAATAACAATATGACAGACATGAGTAAAACTTCATAGTGACCTGATCCATTCGAAAAGCTGAAACGATATGGAGAGAATCACTCTCGAAAATCATTTTTCTATAACCATTTTCAATCACCATAATATCCTCGAATCTAGACAAATGACATCAATGATAAAAACTAGCCACTAACCTGCATGACCCTCTTCAAGAGAACACTCAGCAAACTCAACTAAGTTTGCGGAATCTTGTGAGAGAGAAAAAAAAACGCATAGAGCTTTCAGACTTTATTGAACAAAAGAAACCAGAATAAAAAAAACTAAAACAATGCCAACAAAGGAAAACCAATTGCCACTAATTTTTCTTTAGGACATGACATAGAGAGCAGCATTGCAAGATGATACACAACCAAAGTCAGCTCACATATGAGACAATAAATCTGCCAAAAGAAGAGTATATCAACATAAATCCGCCGAAATTCGAAGAACACCAAAGATCTGATGAAATCCACACAAAAAACCCCACAAATCGGAAGCTTTCTCTCTTTTTCGTTCTCTCTCTTAGCTGCCACAGAGAGAGAGAATATTTTTATTTTATTTTATATAAATAGAATATTTCTTAATTAGCGTTATTTGTTTTTACCTTACCTTTCTCATCTCTTTTCTAGGTACGACAAAGACTATAAAAATGAACTGAAGGACATATATTCAGACTTAATTATGTAAGGCACCATTTAGATGGAGAGTGAACATGATATATATGGATGTTTTCACAACACGTGGCACCATCATATCATTATCATTGACATTTACTGCTAGCTGAAACCTTGGCATCCATTATCATCACGGTAAAACTGAGTTTCTTTGATAATAACGGGGTCTAATCTAGTGGATAAGGGTATTGGCTTGTAAATTAGTGATTTCAGATTCGAACTTCCATGACATCTTAGTAGAATATGCATGTGGAAAACCCTCTCTCTCCCCCTTCCTAACTGTGGAGAAAAAAAAAAAGAAAAAAAAAAACTGTGCCGCTCTAATATTTTATCTCAGCTTTTGATACAATAATGTTGAATGTAATCTCCACTGGGTTACGTAAAAATGCAGAAGACTAAAAATAGAAGCCCAAAACCAAATGACAGTTGATTATATATATTATATACTGTTGAAACGTCACGTGTAACTGGACGTATGGCATTGGTATATATGGACTTTGATCCCATCCTACGTGAAATAAAGCAAGAAAGAAGGTCCTTTGTCTAACCCTAAATGGAAACTGTATGGCCCATCATCTCTTCAATTCACATGCTGTGCTGTGCTGCCAACTTTGGTTAATTGCAATGCTCCATCATATTCTCTATTGAATTAGGTCAAGCTCGATCTTTCACTGAGATTCTAACTCAACTTATTTTTCTACAAGTTTGTTAAAGCATTCAACTCTGGGATAATGGCGCTAGGGTTGCGTGTGACACAATTCAAATGATTGTCAAAACCCCACAGTGCTGTTTTTTTTTCCTTGAGGAAACAGTGTTGTTGATTTATTTACCTCAATTTGAGCAAAACCAGAATTCGAAATTGGACCAAATTTCATAATTGAAATCCATAATTATAATATTCGTGGAGGTCAAACTTATCACATCATCAAAAGTGGGGCCGACTTCTTTGTGGGCTATGTATTGACCAACAAAGATGGGTTGGGGAGTTTGGTTCAAGAAATTTGCTTTGATGGGATTTGAAATCGTTCTGGTTCTCTTAGCTCTCCCTCGGCCCAAAGGTCCCAAATCAAGTGTTTGGTCCCTTTAAAATTTGTATTTCGAGCTCCCAAACTCAACCCAAAACTTTAAAGCCCAAAGTCCTGAACATTTGGCCCTGGTTGTGATGCGAACATTTACAAGAAACACTTCCTGCTTCGAAGTTTCAGACTCTGTCATGCGCGCACACAACAATTTGTATTTGGAACTTTTTTAGGGTTTTGATAAAAAAGTATCATAATTATCCCTATCCAGTTAGCTACAAAGTAAGGACATTCTATAGCAAATTTGGGATGAAAAACTTGTACGTTGACATCTTGTTTTACAATAAGATTTTTGTTGTTGAATACAAGTGAAGGGGGATTTTATCGTACACACTACCATGATGTCATGAGTGTTCAAACTTGATACACACTACCAAGGTGCCATGAGTGTTCAAACTTGAGACCACATGACTAGATCCTATTGGCTTCAAGAGTCAATGTCATGGAGAATTGGCCAAACTCTCCATGGCCAAGAAAACAAACACTAGTTGGTTTCTTTGCTTGGCAAAGTGGGGTGCATGGCTCTCTGTCTTACCTTATTACTATAAGCATTCATTTGGCCCCCAAGAAGCAAGTAGAACATGCGTACGTACATACTGCTTTGAGGTTTTCATATCATAGAATTGACATCTACCCGATCGACTCAAATACAATGTAATGTATACCAGAACGTTTGTTCCCTCTCCATACTCTCAAGGCCTAACTTTGATTACAACAACTCACATGAAAAAAATAAAAAAACAACATCAAACCCTACGAACATCAAAAAGGAAAAAGAAGAGAAAAAGAAAACCTTGTACACGTATAGTTCTGCAATTGCCATTTTCAGATCCTTTGATGACCAAATGACAAAAGGGAATCATTTCTAAGAGAAACACAAATATATGCACATGGTTTTCATAATTTTCTTCCAACTTCCAACTTCCTCATGTTCTATTGTATATTTGCCAAAGAAATGAACTTGTGTTTGTGAGAGCCTCGTGGAGCTTTCTCCAACGTTCGTTCTTGGTTTTTGGTTCTTGGGATAATCAAAATATACCTTGACTTGACCTACCAAAAGAGATGATCAAATTAGCTAAATCAGCATTAGTGGATGATTTAGTTTAAGCTTTAATCACCTTTCAAGTACGTTTTGCTACCCTCCATTATAACCACCACCAACATGATTAGATATATGTGGGCCTTCAATCTTAAATACAAAGTAAGCTAAACATTTTCACATTAATTTGAGATTTGGGTTAATTTAATTCTAGCAGGAGGATTTCCAGAACTTACTATTAAGATCAGTCAGCACTACAAATGAATTTATGCTAAAATTATATACACTTATGAATCATAGAAATAAAGAGGCTTCAAATAGGACAGGTATGTAATTAAATACAAGAATCAAATACAGATGATAAATTCAGAAACTATTAGCCAGGTAGGTGACTTGTCTGTGTACACCCTTTGATTAAACAACATACCTTTTCTTTTCACTGCTTCATGATCATCATGTAATGCACATCCTGATCTCATATGATAGTACACCAAAACTGCTTGTTGTTTTCTTTTAAGCTGCACACACTTAAATCAACTGGGAAATACAAACATCAACATATACCTTTTTATCCATCCACACACTTGTATATATATATAGTAGGCGGTCTACCTATTTTCATATCATCATCAAACCAGAAAAACAAACACAACACTCCCAAACCCACACTTAATTATAACAATTACATTTACAGAAATCATGAGCTGCTTGATTGTTTAATTAAGCCCCATTCGCTGAAGGTGAAGGGCACTCGCAGACAGTCTCAACCTCTCGTCTGTGGAAGTTCCGGTGGCAGCCACAGGCAGCACAGGTGAGTGCAGCAGTTGTGCCCTCCTCTCCGTTACTTGCCATGAACTCTCTGCAACCATCAACGGCATAGCCTCCAACACCGGCGGCATGGTTCTTCTGGCACTCTCCATATCTCACGCTCCTCATCGTGAAAGATGAAGTTGCTGAACCTTCTTCTGATCTTCTCACAACTACTTGTCGCTTCCTCATTTAAGTTTTTGTAATTAGATCGCTGGCTATTCAAGATCTTCTTTATTAATTGGCTCTCTTAATTTCTCTCTAGATGATCCTCTTTGACATTTTGATGAAATTTACTGGCCGGGTTTTTGACTCAGAATCAAAAGATGAAGTGATTAGAAGTTGGTGGGGAAGTTAGTGAGAGAGAGAGAGAGAGAGAGAGAGAGAGAGAAGCAATAAGAGCTTATGGCTTTGTGGTGGCAATGACCAAGCCCTAACCCTAGATGTATATTTATAGCATATTAGCATCTAATCGTCCATTTTCTTGCTTTAGTAGTCTTAACTACTAGTAGGCACAGTAATCCAATTAATTTTTTTTCTTTTTTGTTTAGCAGCAGGGAAAGGGAGTTTGGACTTGAAAAGTCCTGGGTTCCGTGTAGGGTATGAGTTTAGTATATTATTGTCCCTCTCAATAGTAGAAGTACTTTTCAAAAAAGGAATAAAAATATTACAAAAAGCTAGTTGGTAGTTATTTTATTTTTCTTCTAATTTATTATTCACTTCTTCCATGGACAGGAAGTGGGGTTGTACTGTACGTATTATTGTTGCTAATGTTGTCATTACTTACTAACTAGCTAGTGGTTCTGATTAAAAAGAAGAAAAAAAAAAGCTAGTGGTGAACACAAAACATGGTCGTTGTGAACTGATCGTCCAACAACCTCACAACTCATAATTAGCATAAAAATTAAAGAAATTTTACGTTTCTGTGTGTAAATAAGGCAAAACCCTAGATGCTAAATATGATGAGAAAGCTTTTGCTCTCACCCATAACTGCGATTGGTTTAATATAGAATGAACAGCTAAGCAGTAATTAAGGCCTGATAATATGTACTGTGTGGACCCTAAAGTGATACTAAAAGGATGGTTTTGTGGGGCGCATTGATACGATGCCAACAACAATTGTCTAGCTAGCTTCATCACCCTAAAACTCGAAAATGAAAGGTCACCTTGCCAACTCTGTACGGAAAATTCTACCATTATAATTATCTTCTTGTTTTCTTGCTCTTTTATATATCAGATTTTCACCAAATTCCCATCGAAATTAGCAATTGCCAAATTGGCATGCCCGTGAAAACTTGCAATTTTTATCCCACTGGCACCAGCCCAATTCCACTTATGTTTGCATGTTAGTGATCATGTATATATTACTTGTGTTATATGATGGCATCTTTGGTAAGAATCGTGTGAGGAAAAATTAACAAAGAAAATGACATCTCAAATTTGTATGGTCAACCATGAGGGAAATTGAGGTTCCATTCCAAAATTAATTGGCAATGGAGGGAGTAACTCAACTTCTTATAATAAGTACCTTGCAAGATTTTTTAAATGTGAGACATTTTCACCTTCACATTCTCACACACCCCCGCACGTATGACGAATTTTCAAGCCTAATATGTTGACAACATATTTTGGGTGACGTGGAGCACGTATGACTGTTGGACTTTCATATGTGGCAAATTTGCTCTAATACCATGAAATGAAGTTGAGCCAAAACCAATTGGAAATTTTTTTTGGGGGGGGGGGTGAGAGTAGCCAAACTCCTTATAAGTACCTTTCAAGGTTTTTAAAGTGTGGGATATTTTCACCTTCACATTCTCACACACCAATACCATTTAATCGTGTGAGGAAAATTATCAAAGAAAAGACTTCATAAAACTATACCTATAGTTACATTTTGGTTACTCAACTCCAAAAATAGCTGCAGAGGTCCCCCAATTATGTATGATGTTGCATTACTAGTCCCTTTCATCAAGTCTGTCTATTTTTCAGTTAAATCCATTGGTAAACTTGGAAATTCATTCTAAATATTTATAAAAACAAAATAACAAAATATAAATAAATAAGGGTTATTTGTAGCAACGGTTCCTTAACTATACTCGGAGTACATTTTGGTCACTCAACTCCAAAAAATAGTTACAAATGTCACTCGATTAAGTGTTGCGTTGCACCATTAGAGCATCCACAGTGGAGGGGTGTATGTTAAATATACACCCCGAGTCACTGGAATCGTCTCCAATGGGGAGATGTAAATGGATATAAATATACATCACCACCATGGGGATGTAAAATAAAATGTATATTTACATCTAATTTTACATCCCTTGCAGGCTAGACCTACTCGAGAAAAGAGAAGAAAAATGAAGAAAAGTCAACATAAAAGGCTAGGACCCACGACTACACCCCCGAATTTACACTTCCCATTGGAGCAAAAAACATATTTACACCTCCTGGAGGTGTAAAGGGGATGTAAAAGTGGCTTTATACTCCCGAATTTACATCCCCCCACTGTGGATGCTCTTAGTCTCTACCGTCAAGTCTCTCTAACGGTAGGGACTAGTGGTGCAACACAACACCTAATTGAGTGGCCTCTGTAACTATTTTTGGAGTTGAGTGATCAAAATGCAACTCAGAGTATAGTTAAGGGACAATTACTACAAAAAAACCATAAATATAATGTAGTTATAAATGACACAAGCACCCAAATATATCATAGAAAGTACTGAAATTCTGAGCATTTGCTTGTATTTTTTTCTTTTCATTCTCTAAAAAGTAGTGAAATTATCGACTCTTTTGTAGTTAATTTAAAAAAAACTTTTTATGGTCCATTGTCACATAAACAGAGAAGACAATAGTTGGTGCCACCGCCACCCAAGATCCGATGATGGTTTTCCAAAATTTTGTCACAGATATGAGATATCCAATCAGAAACTTACACAACACACACAAAAAGTACAGACATTAATATTGTTGACTTTGAGTAATTACAAAAACAAATGATGATTTCAATCGTACTTATCTGTAAGATGTATGATATAATTTTGCCTTTGTAATAGCACTTAAAATACCTACATCGATATCACTTCATATGATTTTTTATGTGAGTTGAATTTTTGGTTAAAAAGTTAGAAATAAACCCCGTACATGTTAACATGGATAGACATGTGGTTAGGTAATGCTGGTATTTGATATCGATGGAAGACCATGCCAACTTTTCGCCATTTTTGTTTATTACGTGGTGGCTGATGGTTCGATACACAACTGCATGCAGCTTTACATTTTTATTTTTTTGGGTGCCAAAATTCAACTAAATATCAGGTCTACCCAACATCTCCAATGCTCATGTCCTTGAAGACATAAGGAGACATTAATCAGCGAAAGTCTAACCATTGAAACCCTGTTGAGAAGTAATGTGGGTACGTCTAAATTTACTGAACAGCTTAGCTGAAGTGTGTCTAGGTGAACTGCAGTATCAACTAGCTGTTAGTCCAGTGCTACCTTTATTTTAACATTAGAAGAGGAATTGAACGAACTAAGTTCACCAGTATAAAAGTGAGCAATATATAGAAACCGACAATCAACTTTTCTCTTTTGATGTCTTGTGATTTTGCTAGTTTTGAAACTATAAGAAGGACAAATTAATGTTTCCTCATGTTTTTTTAAATAAATTAAAGGATTAGGCGAGATTAGCTATTTAGTATCGGTCATCAGATGCACAAACATCCATCACCCTCAAAGAGGGGACCAACACTCCGGAAGCCCTCCGCCCGTCCCTTTGATCATAATTTATTAATAAGACACAAAACATATATATAAGAACAACAGGGGGGAACCAAACCAAACCCTACAGAAGAGAAAGACAATGACAAAAATACACAACAACATGCTGACTTAAGAGACCGAAACTCTGAAAGAGTAAACAAAAGAAACTAGGAGAATTTGTAATTAGGCATGCGCAGCCAATCCCGCTGACAAAAAGGCAAAATAAAAGAAGGTGCAGTATCCCACCAAATTAAATCGGAGCCCAAAATACCATGATTTGCCAAAGCATCAACAGCATGTTTCCTCATGTTCAAGTCCCCTCCTCATTGATTTTTAAAATACTGAGATATGTACCTTTCTTCATTGTCACATAAGGTAACTTCAATTTTTAACGTGAAACCTGGTTATACTTCGTAAAATTTCCAAAACTTTTGCAGTATGGCAACAATGACATTGATGATAAGGTGAATCCTTTTGAATATGTAGTTGAAATTCACGATTTGATACATATATGTAAGACTCTTTGTATATAACATGTGGGAGACACTTTGTTAAGAGAATATTACCTAAAGTACTGCATTGGCCCTAACCGTTGTCTCAAAGATTTTGCAACAACTGGGATCCAGAGTTTGACTCTTGATGATCCAACTGAAAGAGAATAATGTCTTGCAATATCGCAATATAATACACTTCTTGCTTTAGCTTGTCTCCTCTCCCTTTTGCAGTTGATTTGATCCAAGTACAAGAAATGCGATCTTAGGGGAGAGGGAGAGAGAGAGAAAGAGAGAGAGAGAGAGGCTTGGTAAGGATAAATTTGTGGATTGATGGAGACTCGTTAAATATGATTGTGCTTTGAGAAGATAACGAAAGAAGAAGCTTTTCTTGCCTCTCACCAACCCAACCCAAATTTGTGATGCCCATAGGGCCATAGTAAAAGGCCCCTAGTGGTTGTGCCTTTTGGGTCCTTACAGGATAAAGCATCTTAGGCTTCCTAATCACGTATTTCCTTTTTATACATTGTACTGCCACCCACGTAAAAAGGTGACCACAACTCTCTAATCAACTTGATCAATAATACAAACTAAAATGGAAATTTGTAAACTTGAACAAAAAAAAGTTGGTTTTGAATTTTGATTGATGCAACTTGACCTAAAGTTTTTTCTCTCGGCAACTAAATTATGGTTCACAGCTGCTGCCTTATGAAGCTAGTTATTAAGCTAGCTCTTGTCAATTCACCTCCTCCCATGCCAAAGAAATTTCGGTTTGAAAAGAGGAAGGTGCCTCGTGAGCTTGGACCACAGAATACGTAGAGTTTTGTTCTAGCATAAACCAGGTGATTTGTTTTAAGTCTTTTTAGCTGTTAACTTCCTTTTCTTTTTCTCTGCGTTTTTTCTTAAACTAAATGGGAATTCACTACTACAAAAATAACAATAGACGACTGGGAAAAAAGCAAGGAACTTAACCAATATCTCTATCATTTCCTTCTTCTCTCTGATTCTTTCAATTAAAGAAAATATTCAACCGAAAAAAGAAAATTAAGATGAGAATATGCATCCTACTAGGCTACTAGCTATATGTATGGAATGCATGCAATGTGCTGATGGAGCTTAATCATTCAAGTTAGATTGGGTGGTGTAGTTATCTAAGTCGGGTTGTTGAAAAGGGAAGACTCATATTTTTTTAGTAAAGCAA